CGATTAATTCAAATAATCTTGAGGATTGAGATAAGCCAATAATGAGATAAGGAGTGCAATATGTTCGCATTATTTCCTTAATTTGGGCAATAATTTGGGTTATGTCATGAAAAAATTGTTCTTATAAAAAAACAAACAATTAAATTTACTTAAGCGACAATATCAGATAAATAAATCCGATTATAATAATTGTTATAATGGTGAATTAAGTTTATTGATGAAACGGGCTGAAAAATAAGATTACGGAAAATAGAAATCCGATTACCTTTCAGAGCCATTTATATTTATACATAAACTAAAAGGGACCTAAACTCGATTAGAAAGTGATGATCACCACATGGATAAAACAAAAAAAGATAATGAAAATAATTAACACCCTGGATTTAAACGACCTCATTTACTGAAAATAAGAACATCAACAAAATTGCAGGCAATGTCTTTACTCCGTAGGTTAATAAGAATAGATGAAATAGAAAAAAATAAGATGCCTAGATCATGAAAACAAATTTAGCATTATTAAAATATAATTACAAGTAAAAGTATTTTGAAGTTATGAGGAAAATAAAAATGCAATATTCACATCTGTTTAATTATCCTGAACAGCATAAAGTATTCGCCTAACTCATCTTATTTTTGGTTATGACCTGTATAGTTATTAAGCTTAGACCTAAAGCCATGCAACTTAAATAATGCAGCCCAAATAGGACGTGGGCGTAATCAATAATGGCTTAATGCATGCGAGCCAATCATGGAGTTGGTCGAGTATTAAATACTAAAACAGGAGACTTACAAACTGCGATAACAGAGTATAGTTGCAGGCGAATAAGGCTTATAAATAAAAGTACTTTTCTTATCATATATCCTAAGTAAAAACAATAGTTTTGTCGAACATCAGGAAGAGTAATATAGCACTCAGCTGAATTATAGATGCTAGTCTTATCATAAGATACAAGGCGAAAAATTGGGGTCAAAAGCAGAAGAATCTACCAAGTTGATCGTTTGGTGCGGTCACATGAGTCTGATGAAGGTAGGTAACGTACGGAATATGTCCGTTTTTAAGTAAGTTGCGAAACCAAGATCACACTATTTCAATAAAGCGAAAGAAGAACAGTACAAATGTAAGGGATGATAACCTGATATTCATGTTAGCATATCAATAGATTATCACGAAAAAATCATGCTGAATAGGAATTAAAATATATTTCATTGACCATAGAGTAAATAAAAATAAAAACCCTTTTTCTTAAGGAGTATCATAGGGAAATAATAAAATCTCAATGAAAGAATACGTCATGACAGCATTTATTTAACCATATTACAAATAAAACGAGAGAATGGCACGAAATATACAATCCTGAAACTGATAAAGCTCCTCCCAATCAGGTTTTAATGCATATTATCAGACTTTCCATACAGCTCGATCATTCAAAGTTTTTTCGAAGTTAATATAAGTAGATATGAAGAGAAAATTAGTTTCAATGAATCCATTAAGATAATATTATTAGGGGGACTTTTGGTTCGCAACTAATTCGCCCCCTTAATTTCCTTTCGTTCGGGCCCCCGAATCAACGGAATATAATTACAATCTTTAGACGAATAGCAGCATGGATAATATGCTATTTTGCTAACTTAATTTTCATCTAAGCCCAACGAATCGAGTCCTAGCAGATCTATCAGAGTGAATGCAAGTCTGCTCAAGTCAGAATACAAGGAAAGGAGAATTATACTAAAGTCAGCCTGTAATAACTTTAAAATATTTCAACAAAAACATAAAGAGAAAAAACAATAAACCACGAACTATATCTGAATACAGGCCACAAAGCTCATATATAAGAAACAGAGATAATGACAAACAACACATCGTATATTAACGAGAAGCTAAGGCTAGCTATTAAAACAATTGCCAACGTTCGTATAGATACTTTTTAATGATTTATTTTTAAGGATTCCTTTTAGATAAATAATTTGTTATGTGCTTTTTTAATTAGGAATCTTATTCTACAATACATGATTTTCGTTTTAATTTCTTACAAAATTACCTAATGTGCGATAGCCGAACACGATTCGCTGGTGCCATATTCTACTAATAAAATTATGGCAGGAATTACACGATGAATGCAAAAAATGAAAGCTTACAATATTTTGGATATAAATTATATTTGTAAGTTCCTGTTTGGATACTTGTTCTTGCATGTCTTCATTTCGCTTGTTCATTACGGCCAATTTGCCGTTATGCTATCTACCAATTCTTGCGCAGCTTGGCTCATTATTTTTCAACTTTAGGCAATGCCAGGAGACATTGGAAGGATTCCAATAATCTCATTGAGTAGCTGTAAATCACTTACAGACATACTTCCTGAGCTGCCTCTCCCTCAACCTACACATGCATCAATCGCAGCCAGAAATATTTTGTTCGATCAAAAAATTACCGAAGACGCCTATCGCTGTGTAAATAGTCGAGAAGACGAGTTAATTAATCAGCTTGTTTTGGCGCTTGGTAGTACCAGCACTGATAGCATGTAGGGTATTTTAGTTTATAATCTCTTAGAGCCTTTAAAGATGAGGCTTCAAGTTCATATTTGGACCCTAGTGCTTTGCCTCATTTATTTAAGGAGATACTTTGCCGGAGATCCTCGCTTTTCAAAAATAATAGTAGCTTTCAGTGCATTTATAACAACCCCGAGGCTGTAAAGGCTGTGTTCAAAAATGGTTAGTGTTTATTAAATATTTTATCGTACGATAAGATAAATTTTCTGCTAATAAGGCCTATCTTGAAAGCCATAAGACTCAAATAAAGGGGAAAAAGAAATGTACTGCCTTAATAGATTCTTCAGATCAGTATCAGGTGGTAAATATTCAGCCTTTAAAAATATCAATCAAAAAGGCGTGCGAACCATCTGCTAAGCCAAAGAAAAAGAGGGAAAAAGCGTGTAACCAGGTAATTCGGGCAATCTATATTTTATATTATGTATTTCCCTGTTTATCTTCTCGATTCTTCTTCAGTACAAGGATGCTATTGATGTTTCTGCTACATCACTTGATGTGTCCTCATCCCTTTCTCACGAAAAATCCACTGAAGCTTTTGATTCAAACATTAGAAAGGATTTTGATGGACGATCTCCATCTTTAATTACCCTCGCTGCCGTCAATCTCAAGGAAAAGCCTGTTCCATCTTCTGAAAATGTACATATACCCAGTCGATCTTGCCTTTCTGAGAATTTGACATCATCTTTAGGTGAAATTTCTGTCTCTAATAGTACTCCACCAATTATA